CGATGTGAGGGGTCAGCTGATGCCCAAGCAACTCCATTTCTACCATATCTACTATGCTAGCTGTGGATATTTGGCCACCGCATTTCCTTTCTGGTGCCCATATGGAATGATTCATGTGCAAGTATTCATTTAGGTATCTCAGTACCTTGAGTGTGACCTCTCTCTAACATCCCCCAAGTTCAAGGTAAAGGCTTGAGCCATAGAGATGAATTCCCCATACTTAGGCCAACCCAGATGGCTCTGATCCTGCCTGCTAAGGTCTAGGCCACATATTCTCTAGCAAGAAACCAACCCCTTCACAGCTCTTCTAACCCCCAGCCCAAGAGCCACATACGCAAGCACAAGCCCCAAGATACTATAGGAATAGACTGAGGTTTTCATCTACTTGCTCTCAGACCCAGAGTTCTAAGTGGAAATGGTTAACTGCTGGTTCAACTCTCCATGTGGCTGTTCAGGGTGAACTACAGCTGGAGAGGCAGACATACTCCAGGGCCCAGAACCACATCAGTGGTGCAAATATCTAGGCTGCCAGTTTGCAGCAAACCTAACAGTTTCAAATCCAATGACTTCTAAATGAAGTGTGGGGGCCGAGAGGGATGGTGTTGTGTATTTTGTATTAAATATCGAAGCCATTGCAAAATCAGAAGCAACTCAGTTTCTGGTGTTCCTTTATATACAGCCACCAAATAACACGATTTCAGAATGTAAGTACGTACTTCCACAAACGTGCACAAATATATGTGAGTGTGCCCTGTGCTTGCCTGGGGTGATAAGCCATGTGGTAAAGGGTGCACAGCTGTCTTATAAACCTTGCATTCCTGTTAAGACACAAGCCAGCACAGCTGTGAGTAAAATTCTTGGGACTTGGAGAGTCCCAGCCCCACCCTTTCGAGGGGTGGAGACAGTTATACATGCAGGTGAAACCCTTCATAGCGCCTTGATTCCCCAATCCAAACGACTTCCTTCTAAAGCAGCCATAGAAGTAGTTCACGCAGGCTGCTGTCAGGACTATGGCACAGCCTTTCTAGGAAATGCAAATAAAGCAAGGAATCATGTGAAATTGGCTGTGTTCTGCCAAGCCCAGCCCCAGGGTCTGACTCATCCGTGGAGATCGGGAATCCCTCTGGTTCCCCAATGGAAGACAGCATCCTATCTAGATGGCTCTTCTACTAGGGCAACTTTCACTGCCCCACTGTTTTCTGAACATAGCAAACCAGAGGTAAGCCTTGCTGCATTATTCCTTTCATGCTCTGCTAAGACGGACTGTATCTTACCACACTGCCATGTTGAGATTCAAAGATGGGGAACAGGTTTGGGACTAGGTGCCCTGCTCCCTTCATCTAGTGAGCAAGAGTGTGGGACTGAGGGTTGGCCATCCACTCAGTCTGTTCACCTGCCTGGGATACCAAGTGTGGTCCCAGAAATTGAGGAGGGAGGATAAGGGCCTTGGGGACAGCAGTACCCCACAACACACTTGTATGCGTGGCTGGTCTCTGCATTGCCAATCTGCTGGGCCAGACTTATCTCTACAGTATAGAGTTACAATTATTGCTTCTATGACAGAAGGGGTCTGGAAGCCCTGGTGGCTTTAAGAGAGTCTGAGGAGCACGGGCTGGCAAGTGGATTGCTGGAGGTGTGGGGTGTCTATCTGCAGGACACTGACCAACACCCTGGGAGAGGACAGGCCGTGGACGGCACAGCCCATGGAAGCATTGTGGGGCTGTCCTACTCTACAGTGTCAGGCACGGGAGGCATGCTGGGGTACAGGGGGACACACAGGGTCATTTCCCAAGAGCTAACAAGCAGGGGTGGGTGTGGGTGCCGGGCTTTTCCTGGTTTTTGGTACAAGTGAACAGGCAGCACCTGTCATCGGCGCACTATATACAGAGCATCTTAAAATAAATAATTTAGAGACTCCTACCCAAATGGCTCTATCACATTTGTACATGAATATTGTACAAGATTAAAAATAAATAAGGCAATATAATACAGTTTATCACAAATAAAAAGGAAGTTGTTTTTCACTAAAACCCCAAGGAACATTATGGCTAAATATGGTTCCTGGCCTCACAGGAAGTAGGCAGGGTTTGGGATTGCTGATGATGGAGATGTCTGCCGAGGCTGCTGTGCGGTAGACAAGGTGAACTTCACAACGATTCTGGGCCCAGAGAGGGCAGCGGTGTCCCCAGTGACTTCTTGTTCCAAACACTCCTGGAGCGGCTTTGCTCACACCCCCATGTGCCCTGATGACAACGCACTGACATGTGACAGCGCAGTGAACCCCAGGCAGGCACAGCATTGTGGAGCCAATTCTGTTCCAAGTCTCACAGGTCCAGTCCAGGGCTGGGCTCCTACCTGGTGACTCTGGTGATTCTGTCTCCTGTTTATTCACATTGTTGCTGAGTCAGACATGTAGACGTGGGAGCGACATCCCTGGTTCTGTGTTGTCTGGGGTTGTCCTCATATGCATTCTGTCTTGTGGCCCTCCTCTTCAAACCGGAGATGAGGGCTAGGTTGGCTATGCTTTAAATCTCTCCTGGTCCTCCAACCCCTGCCCCGGTCCACATCTGAAAGCCACATGGTTTCAATGAGCCAACTGGGGGGGTAAGGGGGGAGGCTCTCCCATTGTAACACTCCTAACTCTCTGGCTCCTCTACAGAGCCATGTCGACTGTGACTATACATATCCAGCAGGCCCAGGACCACAGTATGGACATCTTCAGAAGCCACTGCTGCCCTACCTGCATGACTCAAGAGCTACTCTTAGGAAACAGCCACGGACCAGACTGTACTTGAGACTCTCTACTCTCCTGAATGGCTTTGGGTTGGGGACAGCACCATGGTCCAGCGGGAGACCTGTAGAGCCCAGGGCCAGCCTCACCTTCACCCTGCAGCATGCTCGCTCACTTGCTTGCTCACTCGGTGCTCACTAGCTTGCTTGCTGGTTAAGCTTCTCGTTGAACTGACTTCTTCACATCTAGTCTGGACACCAGAGAGAAGAGAAAGTCCTGAAGACAAGAGCCGGGCAGCAGAGACGAGGCAGGGCCACAAGCAGCACACGGCTTGGTGACTCAATCCCCGGGTTACCGCAACACCTGCCTGTGCTCAGGAGCCCTTGAAGTAGCCTGGAGCTTTCCCCGCCAACAGTCTGTGATGGACGTCTGAGCACAGCATATGCCCCAAGAGCATCTGCTCCTGTCTTCTGCTCATGGCAGCCAGCGCACACGGACACAGAATGAGGCCGCGAAGCCACGCCCATGTGAAATGACCGAGGAAGCCACTAAGTCCCCAGTGGGTCAGCACGGTTCTGGCCCATGAGCTTTGAGTCCTGGCCAAGGGAAGATGCCAGAAAGGCAAAAAAGGTAGGCCAGAGAAGGTCAGAGTCCTCTTGCAGGAAGTGCCACAGCCATGATCCAACACAGAGAGAGGAATAAATAAAATCCTCACAGCCCAATCAGTTACCTACAGCCTATAGCCTCAGGTCCTTGAGCAGTCTGAACATAACCCCAGCTGTCACCTGTCCAACTGCCCCACTCTGTCCCATCTAGCCTCCACTGAGTCCCACAGGGGCAGACAGTCAGCCTGCCCTAAGCATCAGAATGCTGGCTGACCTGCAAAGCCACCCATGTCACCACCATGATCAGAGCCCTTGCGGGCCCTGCACAGCCACACAACCAAACCAGGCGCCATCACCCACCCACCCCGCTAAAGAAGTGTGGGCACTGCTCTGCACCTCTTCTGAAAATCTACAACAGCACCCTCTCCCGACAACAGTCCTCCCACCCCAACAAAGGGGTAAGTCCTTTGGAAACAATGAAGAGAAAGACCCCACACAGGCATGAACAAGGCAGGGTTCAGACCTGTCTACTCCCCACAAATCTTTCTGGTCAACTGTTAGACATTCCCTGTGGATGCACCTGCCTAGAACTTTCCCCCATCCTGTTCCCTGCTGCCTCTCTCTCAGCAGATGAGATCAGAGGCCTCTAGGAGCCTGGCTCTTCCACCAGCTCTTGTTGGCCAGTCCCTTCCTACCAGCTGTCCTGGACACCCACCCCCAACATCCTGGCTTCCTCCTTTGCAATCACCAAGAAATACAAATGGGAGGATCCCCTGAAGCCACTTGCCCTGCATGCTGGAGCAGGTACCCCTGGACCAGGTGGCCTCTTCCACCGAGGGAACTGGCTCGTGGATGTGACAGTCACTCGAAGTCAACATAAATGAAGCCTTGATTCTTGTTAATCATACAGGATCCAAGATACCACAGAGAAGGCGACACGGTGCTCAGCCCTCCTCTCCTTGAACACGTAGTGAGGGCACAGGTAAAGGAAAGCCTGGCTGTCACAGAGGATGAGAGCCGGCAGGTGGGGCTGGGGTTGGAGTCAGGAGAAAGGGCAGGTAGACCAGCTGCTGGTGCTGGCCTGGGAGATGGAGGGGCTGCAGGGCCCCTGAGGATTCCAGAAGACCTGCCTCTGGCTCTAAGCAAAAAACTGCTCTTGAGAAAAGCCAGCAGCTTCACTCTCCATGCAGTGAGAGGCAGCTTTGCAATTCTTCCCAAACTGTCCTTTCCTAAGACCAGACCAGCGCCGCCCCACATGGCCCTGCCCTGCGGGGCCAAATTTCCAGTCTGGCTTGTGAAGCCACTGCCCAGAACCAGAACCTGCCAAGACCCACTGTGACCAGGTTGATGTGGCACCAACTCAGGGTGCACTGGTGGTGGGCTCTTTCATCTCTCCGCCAGCTGGACCACCACAGCTCTTGCAGTGACCCTGGCAGATACCCTGAAGGTCCCAATGCCATTGTCAGCACTGGCCACGTCCTCTGGAAAGAGATAGGGCTCTCTCTAACCCTGAGAGGGTGGCACAGGCTCATCTCTCATTGACTCTTGGGCCACACCCGAACAATGCTCATTCTCTGGCCCAGCCAGCTACCTACTGTGGTCCTGGCTGGAACCATGGTGGCATTCTTGTCCTGCATGCACCCCAGAGGCCAACAGGGGCTCCTCTAAGCCTCCTTTCCTGCTGCTGCAGAAGACAGGTACTGACCACTAGAGGCCGGGGGAAGGCCAGCTTGGATCGGGGGACAAGCCGCAGGACACAGTGGGGGCCGTCTGGCCTGGCCTCCAGCTCTCCCATATGGACACATCTTGCGCTCCTGGCGAAGGGACCGGGGATGGGAGCCATTTCCATCAGTTCTGCCTTCTAGAAAATATGTCAGCATCTCCCCCTTGCCCTTGACGCTGACTTTGCCTCGGCACACAAAGTGGTAGGAACACCTCCTCAGCAGCCGGTGGACCTCCTCAGTTACCTGTTGCAGAGAGAAGCTGGTGTCATTCTGGGTCCTGCGTGATGAGGGCATGAGCTGGGGGTGGGGGCTCACATCCTCTCTCACTGCTCATCTTGGCAGTGTCTGGACAAGGCTCTCCCAGCTCGCCCATACCTGCAGCAGCAACTCAGTCATTCTAGAGAGGCCACCACCCTGCCAAGTCTGCCCAGGGGGGACATCAAAGGGCCCAGTGACTCATGTCATCTGTTCTTGGATAAGTGCTAGAAGCAGGTTGAGCTGCTTGGCTAGGGGAGGCAGCTGGGTACACCTGCTCTGGCGGGGACCCAGCAGGGCCTGTGGGAGCCAGGGCAGTTGTTTTGTGGACTTGCCCAAGGCTATATGGAACCAGCTTGTGTCAGGAACAGAGAGGCACAGGCTGATTCTCCTGGCCCAGAGCTCTGAGTCCCCCCACCAAATGGAATCTGAAGCTTTCTAATTCTACCACTGGGAGTGATGCCCTTACTTTCTGGAGTTGAGGAGCCCAGGGTGGGATCAGGGGCACAGAGATGGCAGAGATAAATCATCACGGGGGAACTGGGGTATCTGTTCATTCTCTTTCTCTCAGGCCTCCAACCAGTGTTTTCAAAGAGAAGAAGGAATGAGGACAACACTGGATCTCTGTTGTGTCTTGTAGCTGTCTTCTCTCCCTCCTGTCCCCCTGGCTGCACCATCCCTCTATTATCTTTAATTCAAACAATGAAACCCATCTCAAGCTATCCTCTCACATCCTGGCAGAGCTGGGAAGGCCCCCCCCCCTTTCCCATTCCCACATCATGTTGGACAGCAGGAGGCCTGAATAGGAAAGGCAGGAATATAATAACAATGATTAAGATGGCATTCCTCCACCCTGAGAAAATCAGAGGCCACTGCCTTAATCTAAGCCTTCCAATGGCTCTGAGAAGGCACTGAGCCACAGGTTTTGTTCCATTTGAATGGCTCAGAAGTCTCCTGGGTGCAGTGAAAATATACCATATATAGCCCTTGTGACACAAGACAGCACCCCTTACCTCCTCTGCCTGCCACTGTCCTGGGATGTGGGGAACTCAGTATCAGGCCACTAGACTCCCTATCATCCTCATTGCTGTTTTTGTTGTTTTGTTTTTGTTTTTGGTTGGTTATGGGGCTTGAATTCTAGGCCTGGGCACTGTCCCTGAGCTCTTCAGCCCAAGGCTACAGTCTACCATTTGAGCCACAGTGCCACTGCCAGCCTTTTCTGTTTATGTGGTGCTGAGGAATCGAACCCAATGAGGGGTAAGCACTGAGCCAGCTTCCCAGCCCCCGTCCCCATTTCTGTACCTGCTCACTTCTGAGCCATCCTAAAGCTTCAGGTAAAGCCAAACAGTAAAAATCAAATGGCCAGGCCTGGGCTGAGCCCTCCAGATGCAGATTCTGCCTCGTTTCTTCCTGGATGTACAACTACCCCCACCCCCATGTCTCTCCTTACCTGCAGAGCTGGCATATATATGTCTTGGGAATTTCTAGGTGAACTCACCTGGATTCTGCCCTGGACTCCAGTGCTGTCCATCCGACTGGCCACATTCACTGTGTTTCCCCAAATATCATACTGGGGTCTGCGGGCGCCAATCACTCCAGCCACCACTGGGCCAACATTGATGCCTGGAAAAATAGCCACAGCATGACCTGTGATCAGCTGGAACAGGGTGACCAGTGTGTCTGGCACTGCTCTGGGTATAGGAAAGCCTGCTCCTTCAGGGGCTTTGTTTTCTGGGTCATGTGGAGCCAGGCAGGAAGCAGGAACCCCCCCACCCTCACAGAAGGCCAGTGGCAGGTACCTCCTGCCCAGGGCATTCTGGGTAGCTGGTGAGTAGCCCCTCACAGTGTGGCCACGGTACTCTGCAGCAGCACTGGCCATCAGATATCGTGTCTCACCTGGAGAAGGCACCCCACCCAGGGCCGGCTCCAGAGCCACCTGGAAGTCTGACTGTGCTGCTTGCAACAAAGGATGCAGCATGGCACCTTTGTCTGGTGTGAGCCTTTGCAGTGAGCAGAGTTCAGAGGCCCACTCCGAGGGGTGAGAAGGAGATTCTTCTCTTTCCACACCTGGTCCCTGGGTGCCCACACAGCTGGACAGTGTCACCAGGCCCAGGTGTAGCCTCGTCTGGAATCACCTCTCACACACGCTTTGGCAAATTGCTTGTCCTCTCAGAACCTGGGTTTCATTCGTTCCACATGGAACACAAAGTGTTCTGTCCATTCTGGCCTGGCCTGGCCTCCTGTGGGACATCTGGTTCTCTTACCATAGCTGGCTGGCGCTGCTGCCTATAACTGGGGCCATTCAAGCAGAGCCCATCTCCTCCTCCCACCCCTCATGCAGACATAGCCCTGGGTGGTTTTATGGGCATTGGATGATTGAGTTGTAAAACAACTAATTTACCTGTATTCTGGGCAGGCAGGAAGGGAATGAGGGAGGGAAGGCGGGATGGAAAGGAAGGAACAGGGGGAGAAAATATGTATTTTAAATTGATTCTGGGCTAGTAGGAATTCTTCTGATAACCTGTTTACATCTCAGAAAAAAAAGATGAATGTAAGATTTAAAGTCCCCCAGCAAAAATGAGGGAAGGGATGATGTCCGGGAAGCACGGCACATAACCTGACTTACGGAATTAGAACTCCTTTCTACAACTCCTTAATAGTAACAAAAAAATTAAATTAAAAAAAAAATAAGGGAAATACAAGAGGCAAGTCCCAGGAAGGGAGAAAGCTCCCCAGCAAACCATAGTTTTTATAAAATCCAGCAAGGGGCCTGAACATTGCTTCCCAAACAGGAAGGGAGCTGCCAGCACCCTGCAGTGGGCTCGCACCAAGACCTCCTTCTGAAGGGACCCACACATCTGCTCCATCAGAGCCTGGCTGAGGAGCCCAGAGCACCTCGTTAACGATGGAGATTTCTCAGAGTGAATCTCTAGACCTATGTTCTCTTGGGAACTGTGGCCACTTCCACAAGCTGCTGTCAGGAGCTATGGCGTCCCATGGCCCCACATGCTCCAGGGTAGCACCTTTCCCTCCTGTAAGACCACACTGAGCCTGAATCCTGGGCCAGGCATACACTGAGGGACAAGGGTGCTCTCGGTCATTGGTAAGAACAAGATGAGGGCTATTTACCAACTCGGAGGACAAAGTCGTTGTAAGACTGGTAGTTGATTTCATCTAGGACATCAAACATATCGATGGCGAAGTCAGCCAGTGTGCTGAGGTGGGAGGAGACAGACTTCTTTGCCTACAGTGAGCAGACGGAAACAGGAAGTTTGGAGAACTCCAGGGAAGAAGGGGTCAGGGAGCTGCTGCACTTGAACTAGGAGTGAGATTTGATTCCTGGAATGTGCATGTGCTCCCTGTACCTGGCTGTCAGTATCTTTATCCCAACATTCTCAGGCTAGTTGGAGCCCAAACCCCAAGTCCCAAGAAGCAGAGCTAGAAACCACTCCAAGCCACTCCAAGGCCAAGGATGACCTCAAACCACAATCCTTTCTATCTTAGCCTCCTCAATAGCTAGAATTTCAGGTGTGAGCCACCTGTAATCTACAAATATAATCATTTTATCTACAAAGTGTAAGTTCCACCCTGGGAATGCAGGGCAGACTCCTTGGCTAAGTCTGTGCCCAGTACCTGTGTCACCAGGTAACTGGCATACCTGGAGGCAGTCACCTCCCCCTCCTCCAAGGTCACCTCCTGGGCAGTTCCCTCCCCGCCCTGTGCCTCCCATTAGACTGTGGGAGGGTCCCAGGCTTTAAGGTTACACCCACATCTAGTGTGGCCACACCTTCCCCCTACACCAGGCCACACCTTTTCCCTACCCCTCCCCTAATTAAGGCCGGAAGCGGGAGGGGGAGGGTAAGACAGCCATCCCGGCCCCTTTTGGCCAAGTGCTCTCCACCATGCACAGCTGGGCAGCAGTTTGGTAATAAAATAAACTAAAACGTCTCTTCCTGCCTGAATGTCACATGGTGTTCCCATTTATTGGCTACCTACTTTAATTTACCTTACACAAAGATAGTTTTATTTCTTGAGAGTAAGAATTCAGTTTAATTAAAGTGCCACGGTGGAACTCCTTTGAACAGTTAACATACATTTAAAACAGTGAATGACAGGAATGTAAAACAGGTCCTGTCCAGGGATGGGTACTAGTGGGAGAGGGGAGGGCGAATGGAGAGGGTAAGAGGTGAATGTGGTATGTTTTATGTACTCATGGAAAAATGGAACAATGAAGCTTGTTGGGGTTGCCTCAGGAAGGGGTGAGGAGGATGAGGGACAGGTATGGGGATGGGGAGCCTGATCAAGATCTCTGGTATGCACACATGGATATGTTACAAGGAAGCCCTCTTTTTTCTTTTTTGTCAGTTGTGGAGCCTGAACTCTGGGCCTGGGTGCTGTCCCTCAGCTCTTCAGCTCAAGGCTAGTGCTCTATCACTTGAGCCACAGCACCACTTCTACCTTTTTTTCCCTGCTTATGTGGTGCTGAGGAATCAAATCCAGTGCCTCATGCATGCAAGGCAAGCACTCTACCACTGAGCCACCTTCCCATCCCAAGAGGAAGTCCTCTTGTACAATTAATTGATTCTGATAAAAATGTGGGATAAAGAAGAATGACCTACATCTTCAAAACGAAAACAAAATCTGTTTGCCTTGTGTAGCCTTTTCCTGTCTTACAGCATTAACTAGGACTTCCCTATGTTGTAGGAAGTAAAGAGTAGTGAGAGAGGATATCTTTCCTGGATCCACACCTCATTCAAGTGGTTGACTCCCCCACAAGGTACAAGTGTGGGAGTTTCTTTCTTTTGGAAAGTTTACTGAATTTTTAATCAGAAGTGTCATATATAATTAAATGAGTTTTTATATCAATTAATAGGATCATATGATATTTTAAAATTTTTTATCCCTCTGAAAAGGCAAATTTCCTAAATTCCCTTCGGAACATTGAACCAACCTTGCATATCTAGGATAAATCCAACATGGTTTTCAGGTGTAATTCTTTTTATTTATTATTATATTTAATTTGCTAATGTTTGATGAGGACTAATAAGCTGATGTGAAATACTGGTCTGCAGTTTTCCTTTCTTTGAACAGTTTCGGTGTCCTGGTGATGCTGATCTCTTAGAATGAGTTTGAAATTTCTGTTTCTATCTTCTAGATAAACCTGGATATAATTACTATCTTACTTTCCTTAAAATTTTTGGTAGAATTCACCAATAAATGTATTTGAGCCTACTGCTTTTTTACTTGGAAGATTAGTAATTACTGAATCAATTTTTATGGCTCTGTATCTCTTAGGATACTTGTTTTTCTTATTCATAATTCTGTTATGGGGGAGGAGAGTTCTCAGTGGTACATGGTTAAGGGAGAGAGGGCAGGGAGTGAGGAAAAGGGAAGGGATTTCTAGGGAGGGCCAGGATGAAAAGCTCCTGTGACTGCCCTGTGTGGACTTTCCTTAGAGATGCTGTCTGGAGAGTCAGCTAGCTGGAATATAGCCGGGGACATGCTCCCTTAATCTAATGAGGAAAACCTCAGCCCAAGAACAGAGATGAGCCCAGGGTCCAAGACCTGTCTAAGGGCAGGACAGGGACCAGGTCTGCGCAGGAAAAGAAAAAAAGCACTGGACACTCACCCTGGTCCCCGCTGTGGGCGCTAACCCCACCGCAGCCATATAAGTGCTCCCGATGGTCTTTATCTTCTCTAGGTCCTTGTAAAAGTCTTTGTCCATGAGCTAGGTGGAAGACATAGAGCTGTTAAACATTACCAAACACTCAAGAATGACATCCCTGCAGCCATCGGCCTCCCAGAGCAATAGTGGAGGTAACATGCATTGTAGACGTCAGCCATCCTCTTTGTTCTGGGTACTAGACAGATAAGTGCTGGGAATACATGTGAAAGAAGCAGCAAAGAGGGATGCTACAGGACACATCCCTGCCTATGAGCCAAGTTCAGTGACAGGGGAGAACCCAGTACCCATCAGGGAAGGGCCGGAAGGTGCCCATTGGCTCGTCTGAGGAGAAATATACCTAAGCTTCCACCACTGCATATATCACAACCCCACCCAGTTCCCAGTGGCCCAGTTCCCATCCTGGAGTCATGACCCTCTTCATAAACTGCCTTGGAGGATCTAGATCCTAAAGGAGACAGGATGCTCCCAGGATCAGAGCTTCTGACGTTCTGGACATGCTTGGGATTGGGTTAGGTGAAGGACAGCTCATCCACCCTAAGCAGACAGTGCAGCCTCACCTCGTCGAAGTCTGCAATGATCTCATTGAGGAGCCGCAGACACTCCACCCCCATGTTGTTGCCATCCAGCTCGATGTAGAAGTCATTGAAGTTGGGGATTGAGGCAAACATGACGCCCACCTGCGAGTAGGACTGATAGTAGAGGTCCTGCAAGAGCAGAGGGGTTCACCCTGTCAGGCCAGGGACGGTCCACTAACAGTGCTCAGACCAGGAATGGGCCAGTTCATGGAGACGCAGCCAGTTTTGCAGATGTGGGGATGGGCTCTGAGGGCTCCAGGCCACACCACTCACAGGTGTGTGCCAACATCCTGCAGTCTGCTTCCTCAGGAGACAGCAGGGAAAGGGGATCTTAGGAAATCCATGTGCTCTGCCTGGCTTCAAAGTGAAGCAAGATGAACAAATCAGCATGTTTGCCCCTTTAGACTAAAGCTTTCGTTAGAACTTTTTTTTCATTAGGCTTTCGTGTCTGTTCTCAGAACCTTAAAGTCAGCTCAGCTCTTTTTACTTGTAAGTTTGGCCTGGAAGCCTTGAACCATACAGGTGACTCCCGTGTGTCACTCTTCAGCAGGTGCTCAGGGATGAGCACCTAGCAAGAAGGCAAAGGAACCTTCCAGAGAGCCACACCCAGCTCAGGTATTCATCGAGTAAAATGAGCTATAGAGAAAATGCTTTGGCCTTGACAAACAGTGCTGCCTCTCCATATCCAATTTACTGACATCCATTTTCCTTTCTCTTGTGTGAAATACAGTAGATTCTTCTCCATGATCAAAGGGGAGAAGAAAGCTAAAGCTAAGCATACATGTCAGCCTAGAGCCCCGGCAGCTTCCTGAGGGCTCTGCACCTGACCTTGCACTCAGGACTGGCAGGGAGGGGAAGAAGCAAGAGCTGAGCACATGAAGTCATGGTCCAGCTGTGGAAGGGGTCTCAGCTGCAGGAGAAGCAGGGGACACCTCTGTGCCAGGCCTCCAGCTGCAGACTGGGAACTCCTGCTGTGGGAAGAGCTCAGCAGACCCCAGGAGAGGCAGTGCCCATGCAGCCAGGGGCTCACCATGTTCCGGGGATTGGACATGAGGAAATGCTGTGCCACGTGGCCTGGCAGCAGGTTGAAGAGGATCCTCTTGTTGTCCAGCTTCACCCTTTCCATGTCGTCTCGCTCCTCTTCTGCCTAGGAGTCATGGGGTCATGAGTTCTAGCCAACCATGCCATCTAGACATCCATCCTGCCTACCATAGCTGCTCTCTGATCATTCCACACTGGACTCCAGGTTCACCAATGGTCCACACCCACTGTCTCCCCACTTCCCCTCCAGATATAGGAATCAGGGTCATATTACAGGCCTGCTGGAATGACCTGATTTTCTAGAGTCTTCCTTGCCCCTAGCCAACTGCTGAGACTCAGATGCTATGGTGGTACTTTCTTTCACTCCCCTCCCCTCCCCTGGTCTGTCTGTCTGTGCTGGTAAGGGGGCTTGAACTCAGAGCCTCATATTCTTACTTGACTTTTCTCCTCAAGGCTAGCACTCTACCACTTGAGTCACACCGCCACTCCTGGCTTTCTGCTGGTTAATTGAAACTTAAGTATCTCACAGATGTTTCTGCCCATACTGGCTTTGAACTGAGTAGCTAGGATTATGGGTGTGGGCCACCAGCTCATGTGAGCCCATTAGTGGTTCTTTCTGAGGCAGGGGCCCATCCCTAGGCTGTATAACCATAGGCAGCCCCCTGGCCTCCGAGAATTCATAAGAACCAGTGGTAGGCATCTTTCCAGGGCAGATATGGGCTCTCTATGGCCCCCATAAGCACTCCCATTACTGTGGCACTAAGACAAGAAAGTTGTGGGAGTAGCCATCTACAGCCCAACCTAGTCCGCTTTTCCCCAGCCAGGGCCCTGTGAAGGTGGATGTAAGTGACAGTGATGGACTACCAAGAGGGCTGAAGAAGGGCTCTGGAGCAGGGCTTGTGGCCAGTGGGACAGCGCAATCCTCAGAAATGGAAGGCACTGCCCTAATAGCATCCCATCAAGCTTATAACTTGACCAGTAAAAGGAGAAGGCCTGGGAAATATTCTATGTGTACATCCTATTTCTGAGCACCAAATTCCTAGGTGTAGCAGAAAGCTGAAAGCCCAGGGCCTAGCCAACAAACACTGCAGCACAAAGGCTAGCATGCCATGGCCCCTGACCCACATGGGGGCTGGTGATGTGAAGGATACACATCTCTGCCCACAATAGCCTGCTGTAAAATGGGAAGAAAAACATCCACTCAAGAAGGCTCCACTCAACAAGGGCTTTGGAGAAGGCCTGGGCCACCTCAGTGGAAAAGCACAGCCTCTTTTTGGTGGAACTGTGAGAGTAAGAGTCCATTTAGCCAATTACATGCTGCTAGAGTTCATGGAGTGATTCAGTTAAATTAAGAAATAGACATATCCAAGGAGAGGGGCAAGGAGGTGAGCTGAGCATGAGGATATGGTAAGCACAAAGATGGAGGGCCAGACTGGGCAGGGTAGCCCCCAGAGGATGGTATCTGAGAAAACCAGGCCAGTAAGTTAGCATGTGCCACACAGAGAGCACAATGTTGTTTTTCCTGATCTTTAGACAGGTAGACCACAGCACATAGGAGTACAAGAAAGGCACCTCTGGGCCATACCCTCAAGGTCAGACCTAAGTAGGCACTGGTTACTGCCACCCAGACCTGCTGGAACCCACTCTGCAGGGGCTCAGAGCCCACGTCAGAGAAGACAACAAAGGCCTGCATCTGCACTGATCACCACTGTTTGGCCTTGTGACGGCAATGAACCACCCAGGAAACAAACCCATCAGTCTGCTGTGGGTCTCTCTTACAGACTGGCAGCCTCTGATATTAGCCTCTATCTTCTCATTTCCCACATCTGTCAACGGAACAGTCTACACACAGCTCTCTCCACAAGGCAAGGATTTCTAATCATGCACTAACATGTTAGGGTCCAATATACACAAAAGAAAATTTTCTGAAGGGTGAGATAAACAGGAAAGAAAAGATTCCCCCACCATGGTACAGAGTGTGAAGTCAGGGCCTTCCACTTATTTGGCTAGAGCCCTACAACTTGAACCATGCCTTCTACCCTGATTTTTTTTTGCTGCTTATTTTGGAAATGGAGTCTCATATTTTTCTGCTTCCAACCATGATACTTCCAATCTCAGCCTCCTAAGCAGCTAGAATTAAAGATGTGAGCCACCAATGCCCAGCAAGAAATGATACTTTAAAAATAATTTTTCATTTTACTGATTTACAGATAAAATTGTACTCTTCCCAAAATAACTACTATTAATATTAATACTATTTTCATAAAAATAACACAATTGGATGTGCTTGGCTTAAAAACAATATCTTAACTAATAACACTGTGATGAAAAGATTCTAAGTTCTGCTTATGTATTTGTGAATTTAGGGACTGTCCTTCCTATGTCATTTTTTTTGCCTAACTTATAAATGTAAGATCTTTGTTGACATATGACTGATAAATGTCCATCCACCCCATGCCACTTATATTTTGAGATGTAAGCATTAGTTGTACTGTTTTATTTTTAATGAAATAAGATGAAAATCCACTGAGATTCTCTAACATATACGTTTTTCCAAGTAGCCAGGAGGCTGTAGTATTTTGAAGGCCATTATTCTTGTCAACAAGGTCATGTGATAGAGACGTATTCGATTTCTGTTTTCACAATATTGTCGGGATGGAAAGTTTCTTTCCAAACTCATGTTCCTTCTCATGTGTGCTGACATTTTAGAATTTATTGATCAGGGCACATCCACTGGCCTTGTTGTGGCATTCCAAGGGAGGTCACAGCCTAGTGCATTTGTCATTTTGGAAAAAGAACAAAACAAAACAACTCCCTGAGTTGCTGACATGTGCTGTGAATGACCCTCTCCATCACTCTGACAGAGTTCCCAGTGTAAGATCACCCCAGCCTAGCGCCTGGATCAACAGTATGCTCCTCACAGAGGACAGCTCTTCCTCCCTCTGCACCCTGTGTGGACACAGGCCACGTGCCAAGAACCTGATTGCCAGTTCATTTTCACTATCAGGACGGCACGTCTCCTGATTTTCACTATAAATAAACTTTTCGATGCCCCCTCACACTGACTCATCAGATTTCCCTGGGGGCATATTCTCCTTTTGGGGGGAAGCACACCAAGTTAAAGGAACTTTCCCTGGTCCAGCTGGCTATAATTAAACCTCTTCAGCCCCAGAGGAGAGAAACGTAGTTTCTAGCTTTGGGACTGAATTATTTCATGTCACCCTCCTTTGGTTACTCATTTTCACTTGAACACAAAGCTCTCTGTAAAACCTGTTTCCCGGACATGCAGATGATGCTGTGTGGGTCAGAGATGGCACACATCTCTGCCTGGTATCACTGTCCCTGTGATGGATGAATTCTACCATCGGGGGCCCAGACCAGGCAGGCTAGATGGGGACGCAGGTGTCCGGAGAAGCTCTGCCCTCTCACGTCGGAAGTTGCTGTAAGACTGGAGGGGGTTCAGCAGCAACATGAAGACTCCTAGCACCAGAAAAATTCCAGTGTTTTTCCCTCCCCCACGAAGGCTCCAGGAAGGCCATTCTTAATGTTCCTCCACTGGCTTCCAAGGACAAGGGGATAGTACAAGGTTACCCCCCTCCCCCTAAGACAAGCCAACTCTTGAGTTGCTTCTGGATTGGAGCCTTCAGAGGCCAGTTCTGGACCTCCAGCTCCCTTTCCTTGCCACAAAGGGCTGTGCTGGAGGCCACCAGCCTGGCCTGGAAGACTGAAATGATGTAGCATTGGCTAACCCACACAGACATGTCATAAGGAGTGGATAAACCTTTGCTCATTGCTCCTACTGATGTCCTGGAGATGTTTGCTCTACAGTAGAACCCAACCCTCACCCTCAGAATACTGGGTTCAGAAAGCCGCTCTAAAGGGCCATGCCATCACCCATATTTCCCCCATAGGCCACCACCCAGCCCTCTCCTGCTCCCTGGAGGAGAGATCACACATTCTTCCCCTTTGCCCACAACTCTTGCCCTGTGCTGTGGCTTCAAAGGCTTTTCTCTCCAGTAATTGCATTTCAGAAGCCATTTTTAGAGGCTTCTTCAAATTCCAAGGGGAACTTATCTAGGTCTCAAAAAAAGACCTAAGGATAACTTTGGAAATGAAAGAATAGCCATTGTATAAAAAGTAAAATATTCAAATTTTTGACTATGCCATTGAAAATCAATATTCAGGTTGGTAGATTGGCTGAAATGATAAGAATGCCGGGCTTACCAAGTGCATGGCACTAAGTTCAAATTCCAGGTAGCACCAAAAAAAATAGACACAAACAAAGAAACAATAAAGTGCCACTCATTATAAGGAGAAAATAATTATTACTTGAATACAGTTGATTGGATTAAACATTTAAAATCATCATTATGAGTGTATTGATAATTAGATTCACAGAAGAACCATGTTAAGTACAAGCAAAGGGACATGAAAAGACTAACTTCTAGAAAACTGTAATGTCAGATACACAGTGCACTGGATGAGACTAGCAGGTTATATACTTTGATAGAAAAGATTAGTAAACTTAAAGACATAGTTGGAAAATCTATCAAAAATGAAGCAGAGAAAAAAAGAATCAGTAAAAATGCTGAATACGGGCTGGGAAGGTGGCTCAGTGGTAGAGCGCTTGCCTTGCATGCATGAGGCTCTGAGTTCGGTTCCTCAGCACCACATAAGAAAAAGAAAAAAAAAGCCGGAAGTGGCGCTGTGGCTCAAGTGGTAGAGCGCTAGCCTTGAGCTGAAGAGCTAAGGGACAGTGCCCAGGCCCAGAGTTCAGGCCCCACGACCAGACCCCCCCCCACCCCAAAATGAGGAATACTACAAGGCATGGTAATAAACACCTGTAATCCCACATCTCTACTTCAGGATTTTTTTCTCTAGTTACTTAGAGATAGATAAGAGTCTCACAGATTTGCCTGCCCAGGCTGGCTTCCAATTATAATTCTCATATCTCAGCCTCCTGAGTAGCTAAGATGACAACCATGAACCATAGGCACCTAGCCATGGTTGGGTAGGATGAGAACACACTTGGCTGCAAATGGCCAAGTTCTCATTATATTTCTACATGGCAGGAAGAAGATAAGAAAGTCTCTAAGCATTTTTATA